TATTAATCTTAAACAAGCGGTTTGTCCTAGGACGCATTAATATATTAATATATTAATGCGTCCTAGGACAAACCGCTGATCTTGTTTTAGAAGCTCATCGAAGATTAATTGAAATAGCAAAGCTGATAGAAGTTAATCATAATTGTAATAAAATTACGCTAAACATTCATTTATCTCTTTATTTATATGATTGCTCATTTGATTATAGGTCATTGTATGCGTTTTGGTATTTTCTTTCGAATGCATGAAAGTTTTATTGGCCTAAAAAATCCTTCTGAATTGTTATTTTCGACATAAAATAATCTATTAAAATTGCTTTCCGATTTTATAAATATACAAATCGTCCATAAATCGGACAGGTTGATTTATGTTAATTTTTGGCCATTGATGATTATGTCCGATTGATGAATGATTGATAAATGATTTATTACATGTCTGATTTTTTTGATTTCGACCAGTAATAAGTAAAACATTCTTATAAATTGCATTGCAATGAATGGGGTAGGTTGATAAATTACGTGGAGATGAAATCCCCTCTATTCGCAATTTCTAGTTTTTAAGATTTATAAATACGAACAACATTTATTATGTATTATTATCTAAATAAAAAGTAAAAGTAACATTGTTTTAATACTATAGTTTTAATAAAGTTAATTAAAAATATCCTTACTTAATTAATATATCTATCTAAATCATTTTAATTAAGTTCCTTAAGCGTAATTTTAATAGGGCTAGATCATTTTTTTTTCATTACTCCCTACAGGCTTCCATCTTATCAAGTGTCAGAATAAACTTTAGTTCTCCGATAAGTTCAATAACATTTATCTTTTAGGGTATCCATTCGAAATTATTATTGTAATTTTTAGTTTCGAGTTGCAATTCTTGAATTAAATTGTCTATTGTTTTATTATCACTTGCCTTACCTTCTCTTAAAAATCGTTCTGAGTCACATATTTTACACCATCCCATTCTAGTATTCATTTTTTTACATTTAGTGCAGAAACCATAACATTTAAATTAGTTTTATTCAATAGATAATTCTTCAAATGTTTTAAAAATTCCAAGAATTTTACATACTTCAAAATATAGACTTTTAATCATCGTTTTAAATGCTCCTTGGTTCAATTTTATTTGAACAGGAACCGATAAAATCTATATACAATAATTTATTTTTATTAATTTATAAATCTAATTATCCTTTTTTTTGTAAACATAAATCACGTTTTGCTCCAATTTTGTAATGTAGTAAATTAGAACAATTAATTGTATACAGAAATAATAAAATGGTTTAACTTTTTTTTTTTTTTTTCTAATAGTTTTTTTTTAACTTGAGGCCATTTTCGGGATCCATTTATCAAGGATTCATTGTAAAAATGAAATTTATTTAATAAAATGTGATCAGATAATATCACAAAAAATACATGTTGAATGTAAAATTTTATTATCAGCTAATAGTTATAGAACAATATCAATAAAGCATTTACATCAGATCATTGAACAAATATAGTTTAAAATTTTTAGTAATGTACAATCATAATAGATTTTAACAAGAAAAAAAAATAACAGATAAAATACAATAGTTGTAATAATTGTAAATGATGCCATTACTAATTAAAGATTATATATCCTCTAATATTAAAGATTGTTATACCATTTATAGGACAGGGTTGATTTTTCTAATACAAGTGGGTGGTCCTCTGCAACATTTAAAGTTTCTGGCACTAGAGGTTAGAACCAGTTTTTGATTTCAGATTTATATCCAGTTTTAACTGGTTTAGACTTATAATCAGTTCCAAATTTTAACATATCGAAAATCTGTTTTATTATAACCAGAAATCATTTTGATTTCGGATTTATAAGTCAATTTTTAATTAGCAAATTTGTAATACAAAGTACAGAATAGGGGCTAATCACTAACTAATAAAGGATAATCTTAAACTCAAAGTTTATTCGCAAAAATTAAAAATGTCTTCTTTCTCAGTTTCAACTTTACTTTCAGATACTGATGATGAATCTAATGCTACACATTCTAGACCATCTACACAACTAAATAATAGTCAGAAAAAACAAAAATCTAATACAGCAGCCAACCATAGTAATAGAAGTTTTACATCATATTTTTTTTCGAAAAGATGAAGATAATTTCAAAATAGTATATTGTCAAATATGCGAAAATAATCTTTCAGAGCGTGAAAAGCCTTATCCATATACTCGTAAAGGTGGAAACACAACAATTATGATAAACTATTTACGGGACAAACACAATGTAATCAAAGATAATTATACTCAATACTTGGACGAAAATGGAAGGTAAGTTTATTAAATTTTTATTTTATTAAATTTGATACTTTTTTTTTATGTTTAGTAATTTTCATATTAGCCAAAGTATAATCAAACTCAAGTTACAGATTATTACGATGTAAATAATGCGGCACCTCCATGTCTGGCAAAAAGACAGGAGTTTTTGGCAAGGAAATTAATCCAATTCATTATCCATTTTGTTTTACCTTTTTATATCTTATAAATCAATTCTTTCATGAGTTTATTTATGCATGTGAGCCAGGATTTCATATTCCATGTGATAAAACTGCCAGGGGACTAATACACGAAGCATATAACTTGAGCTATTATCAACTCACTTTTTACTTCATAGTAGTGTAACAAGTATTCATTTAATCACTGATTTATGGACCATGAAATCCTGACATGGTTACTTAGGTGTTATGGTAACTTGGCTTTCTTGTGAATATCTTCCATATCCTCACACTAGAGAAGTAATTAGTGAAGAGTTATTTCGAATAATTTCTGAGTGGTGTCTTGATACAATGGTTTTTACTATTGCCACAGACAATGGTGCTAACATGGTCAAAGAAATACAATTACTAAAAATTAATTATATTGATAGTATGAAATGTCAACCTTGTACCACTCATACATTACAATTATCAGTGCAAGAAGGATTAAAGCAGTGCAAAGCCATATATCGTCATATTAAATACTTACAAAATTTTTTTTGACAGCCTAAGCAAGCTTAACGTTTACGTGAAACACAAGATGAATATAATCAAGCTGAAGGAGAAACAGTTCAAAGTCCTCTTAATCTTTTAACAGATATGAAAACAAGATAAAACTTCACCTACCTTACTTGAAAACGTGTTTTGGAATTACATAATTCAATAAAATTTATTTCAACTTCATTACTTTCTGTATCAGACCGTACCTTTAATAAAGAAGGTGAAAAACTGAAACGTTTTTGCTTATCAGTTGCAGAAAAAGAGTAATTTAATATTTTTTTAATTTTATAGTTGTTTAATTTTAAATTTTTTATTAATTTTTATTATTTAAATTATAGGTTTTTACAAGAAGTTGTAAAGTTACTTGAGCTGATCGAAATTGTAACCTGACATATGTGTGATGCAAACTATCCAACTCTTAATCTCGTTCACCCATATATAGAATCTCTTAAAAAAAGATTTGCTCCAAGATTAAATAAAAATGAAATGTTTGATTTCTATTTGAATCTCATTTATGGAGAAGATTGTGAAAAAAATGATAATGAAATGATCGATAATGACATTCCTGCTGCTAGCACTCAACAACAATGGCAATATACACATCAACAATATTGTTAAAGGATGAATATTCGTGGTCAAAGAAGAAGACAATCTCAGCAAGATAATATAAAATTTTATGTTAATCTAATTTTTTATAAATTTTTTAAAGAATTTATACTGTAAATAAATTTAAAGAATCTGTTACAGAACGAATGCAAAATGAAAATGCAGCAGAAGATACAAATCAGGGTGAAGATTTACCATCAGTTGATACTACTGGATTGCTTGAAAGAGTTCGAGCTGCAATTTATCTTTCATTAGATGAATTATGGTCTGTCCTAACTGATAATGCCTTAATTGCTACATTTCTTGATCCAAAGTTTAAACATTTCAATTGGACAACTAATGATGAACAAGAAAAAGCATATTAATTAGTAAAAACTTTATATGATTCCTTGAAAGTAAGGCTTCGTATTCCAGATGATATTAAAGATAGGAATCAAGAAGAGGATGATGATGACTTATTTCGTGATCTTGAAGATGATAATATATAAGTAAATATGGATGTAGATGATGAAGTATTACGTTATACAAATTTGAAAAGTATTAATGTTAAAGATGACCCTTTAATTTAGTGGGTGAATCATAGAGACAGTTTTCCTACTTTAACACAGCTTGCAAGGAAATATCTTTCTATTCCAGCAACATCAGTGCCTAGCGAACGATTATTTTCTGATGCTGGTAATCACATTTTGGCAAAAAGAACGCGTTTAGCACCTGACTTAGTAAACAAGATTTTATTTTTAAAACGTAATAATAACTATTTTGAAATATTTCCACTACAAGAAAATTAATAATTTCATTTTATTAATCAATTAATACTTATATTTAGTAATAATTACAAAAATAAATAATAGCTTTTTTTCTAATAATTAGTAATAATTATAACGATTAATATTTAGCATAGCAAATCAATAATAAAAGAATAATTAAAACTAAAACAATTAACATTCAATAATGTCAATTAGTTGATTAGTTTTAATATATCCAGCTTATCAGTTCTAATCAGTTTGAATATAATCAGTTTTTCGATTAAAATCAGTTTTAAATATAATCAGTTTTCAGTTCAAACTGGCTTTTCAGTTTTTTGGTTCAAACTGATTTATACCCGGTTTCAGTTTTTAGGATGCAAATAAAACTGGTTAATAAAAATAAAACTGGTTCCAACCTCTATCTGACACATTTTTTAGGGCTACATTTAGTAAATTATTATTATCATCATTATTATCATAATTGCGTTTAAGGACGTTATAGTTGGCATAATCCTTGTTTTACAAATGTATAGCATTTTTGAGTTCGATAAGCTTCAACATAGTTTGTACCTTCTTGATCGTTTCTGCCACTCGTCATCAAGAGGATTTTTTTTACAAATTAATTTTTAATTGCTAAGAATCTTTTCCTTCACGTTGAGTAAAGATGGTACAGCAATTGATTTCAAATTTACAAAATGTTGCAACATAAGCTAAAATTAGTTGCAACATAT